AAAGTGAGCTCATTGATTTATCAAAAAATTGTCTGCTAAACCATAAGCTATTCACAGCTCACAGTTCTTTCTTGTCATTCTTATATTTGGTAACGTAGTTTACCAAAAAGAAAAAACAATAATGACGTAGAGAATTAATTTGAAATTGGCAGTGTTATTGCTACAGTATATATTGAATTGCTGCACTGAGGTGATATCAACCAACACTGTGGTGGCTATTCAAATCGACACTGTTTTTCAACCATTGTTAAAAACAGAGGAAAACAGTAAAGTCTGCAACTTTTACACTTTTATTGCAGCCAAGAAATAAATAAGTAAAAATACCTAAGTGAATTATTTGTTTTGACACAGTCATCTTTAGACGATCTCTGTAAAGAGGATTATAACTGTAAAGCAGAAGAGTAATATATACTATTGAAAATCAGAAGAATGACAGCAGTCTAAAGAAAAAATAATGAACCAAAATGTATGCAGCAGTGATCGTCCACAGAACCAGTCTACAGAAGTTTCACAAAGAAAATTCATGACGATACATTAAAAACACCTGCATTATTTCGTTTTGATGTTACATTCGTCAGTTCAGCTAACAGATTGAGTCAACATTGATTAGTCCAAATTTTTAGACAATCATTTGTCTACAGTAATGCATAGACAGCAATAAAACTAAAAACTGTGAAAAAGAAGTGATTTAAAGAAAATTACAGCAACGTATTCAATTGAAAGTATTAATATGAGAAAAGAAACAAACAAAATAATTTGCTTTTGTTCTCATCATTTAGTGCTATTTAAAGCTTCCTAAAGCATAGCATTAGCAGCGCAAGAAACACTCCATTAGTTTCAGTAAAATCGCTTTAGAAAAAATATGTTGTTTTTCCTATTTTCAAATTTACAGATTCTTGTTAATCTTAGCATCTATCAGCCATAGAAAAAATTACTATTTAAAACCAGTTTTGTCTTTTTGCTTTTTTTCTCTTTCTTCCTCCTGATCAAATTAGCAGATTAATAAAAAACTATTAACATAATATGCTTAACAAAGAAAATTCTTTTAATATCTTATCAAGTAAAAAAAAATAAGCAAATTTTTTTTCCTGTTGATCTTTCATCACTTAAAAAACCTACTTTACCAAAAATATGTGAACTTAAGAATAAACTACTATGCTTCTTAAAATGCTATATAAACAGCTCCAAATTGACAAATGTCAAATGAACGCAACTGAAACAATTGCAGTAACTAAGTGTCTTAAAGCATTCTCACAAGCATACCATAAATTTATTCAGCTGTAACAAACCATAAAAATAAAAAAAAACCAACGAAAACAAATTTTGTATTTAACATTTCATAAATTTCCACAAAAAAAAAAAGCTTCGGCATAATTAACAAATAAATAAAAGATAAAAAATTAGTTTACAACACATAGTTAACAATTGTTACTTACCGCTTTTTAGTCTAAACTTAAATGAAAAGAAAAAGAAGCGTAAAAGAAATGAAAAGAGAGAAAATAAATTCATTAAAAAAAACCAAAATTTTATCAACGACTATCAACGAAAAAACACTTTTACTTATTTACAAACTCTGATTTCCGGTCTACCAACAACAAATGCTGTTTAGAAGGCTTTCGCTTACGTGAAATAGCAGATAACACTCAATAGCTGTGAACAAAAATGAATACCATTGTAATTAAAAACATCTCAGAGAAGCATCTGTGAATTATAGAAAAAAAAAACGATAAAAAGATCAAAAACAACTCTTGTTTCAAATTATTTTCACAAGCAAAGAAACTAAGTAATAATGTCGAAGAAAAAAACTGCAAGAAAAAACTTTTTTTTGAGAAAGAGAACAATATTCAAGTTTCAGAAAAAATACTACTGCTTCCGCTAAAGTGACTGGTAGCATTAACAGTGTGTCAAATAGACTTTTTTAACACGTTTTTTTTTTTTTTTTTTTGAAACAAACTTAATTCTTAGTTAGTATTACAGAATGATATAATTCAATAAAAAATAATGTCAACATAAAATGAATTATAGTTTTACATTAAAGAGAACTAATTTTGTTTTTTCTGCACTGTAACTTTTTGTTCTTTTTTTTTTTTACGACCAATCAGGATTCAGCGGATCATATGCAGGTTTGGTATCACCAAAATTTGACTGAGCGAATGGATTCTGACTCGAATAATTATTATGCATCACTTCATCATTTGTTCCATATGTCTGATATCCTTCTGGTCCAGATGATATTGGTACAGTTTTGGTGTTAACATCTTGTCCACTAATCTGCTCATATTTGCCATTACCTAGCCCATCCACTTTGGTACTGTCAGATTCAAATGGTTGATACGCGTAAATTTTACGTAGCTTAGCTAGCACCGGCAAATATGCGACATTAAGTACGCAGATAATAACATTTAAAGTCAAAAATCCAAACAGTGCCACAACACTGCCAGCTACAATTGGGCCAAATGCATATGCCAAACTATATGAAATATCTGCAATCGCATAAACGCTGCCATAGATGCTAACATGCCTAGTATCCACCAAGTAACCAAGCGTCGGAAGTAATGATGTATCAATCAGTGCAATGCCGAAGCAAATTGTTGACAACGGTATGATCAGTTGGCCAATTGCTGTCGTGAACGGAACAACAAAACAACTGATACCTTCCATAGCCAAACCAATGACAGCAAATAACCACTCCTTTTGAGGAAAACGTCTCATCAATTTGACGGTCACATATACCCCAAGTACGTGCGGAAAAAAAGGTGGGAACCAAATTAACCCAAGCATCCACTGAGGTGTGTCTGGCATTTTTTCTACCATCCAGGTTGTAATTGTTGGTTCCAAAAACGCCAAGCTTATGTTTGCCATTATTAACGCGCCGGAACAGATTGCAATAAATGGATCCATAAAAAGTTGCCACATCGGTGTTCCATGAAGTTTCTCACCAGACGAATCAGCTTGTTTGGCTTCTTTTGGTTGAACTACCATGAAGACCATCAAACCGTCAAACAGGCATATTAATGCCAAAATCATGAACGGTATTGGCTTTCCGAATAGATAGTATAGAACTGAACCAAACGGTGGCGCAACAAGGCAACCAAATGATATGAAAGCTAGAGCTATTCCTAATGCTGCAGAGCGTTCGTTCTCCTCCGAGAATCTGTCGGCGATCATTGCCAAACCGGAAGTATCAGCAAAAGCAGAACCCAATCCCTGCAAAAATTTTAATTTCGCGCAAGTTACTGTAAGCTTCAATTACAAGATGCTTCATTATATAATGTAAATAACATCACTGCTGAGACTGCATGTAATTGAGTGTCATTTAGTTAAACTGTATGGTTATAACAAATGCTCAAATAACTATCTTAATATAGTCTACAGTGATATCAGAAAAGTATACAACGAGTCTGTCTACCCCTTTCAAAGTTATACCTTAAATTGAAACTACCTCTATAAATTTAGGCTTTCAAAAACCTTAAATGATGCAGCTGGTATTTTTTTTGTCGACATCCGTTGCTTGAAAAGAAAGTGACGGTCTTCCTACAAAAATAATAAAAAAAAGATGAAAATTTGAATATCTAAAAGGAAAATAATTTAATAAATTGATGTTCGCAAGTAGCTTTAGACTGGTAAAATAAATCAGTTTCAAAACCTTTTTGCAAAAAATGTAGAATTTCTCTCTACCCCACACCCTGTAAATTTCGTAATTAAACCTCGATATTTCGCCTAAAATAATACTTCAGTGACAACGATGTATCAAAAGTGTTTGAACTTTTTCTTCTGGAATTGGCAGCCCTGTAACTGCTCTTTCATATCGCCCTTCTATATAACAAAAACATTGAATTTAAGTTATGCATTACTTAATATAACAGGGCTAATCTTTCCTTTTTTTCTGATTCACAATCTTTCCCGACACATCATTACCACTTATTTTCAAAATTTCAACTAGAACAGCCCCATCAATCGGAAACCCCAATGACACTCGTAAAAAAAAACTAACTTAGTTATTGTATTCAACAATTAACTTTTTAAATACGGCAATAAACAAGTAAACCAGATACGTTTTTTCATTGGACAAAAACTAAGTTAGTTAGCATTTGCAACTGTCATGCAGTCTCGTGTTTATATTCAAATAAAATTTGTCCTTTCGCATTGATGCCTAAGTGAATATCCGACTTGTTTTAACTCGGAAATGTTTTTTAAATGGCTTCTATTTTTACGCCTTTAATATAAAACTTTCCGTTACAAAACTTTTGCCTCCAAAAGGGACAATCATTCTTTGAATTTTATAAGATAAAATTTACTTTTGTCCTTTTAAAATAATGATCCGCTAACGTTACCAAAAACCATGCTGGTCAGTGCTGCAATTTATGCTGTTCACCATTCTAATGAGAAATTTAAAATACCGCAATATTTTGTGATATTGACACTTCATCTTCACTTTCATTCCCCGCTCCCTTTCACCCACGAAGCAAAAGCGAAAAACTTTTTTTTTAGATATTCATCTAGTAAATAATTCCTGTTTTAGAATAAAAATTAACCTGTACTTAAGACAAACTTTCCCTTCATAAACGGACTGTTAAATACTATGCAAGTCCGTTATGCAACTGAACTGGTTTGTAATAGTCATGTTCCATTTCCCCACCTCACTAAAGACTACATATCTAAGGATAGTCAAACTATGGAACAAATGTCAAAAAAATTTAGTCTCCCTTAATTAATTAAAACTCAAGACAATATAATAAATTTTGTGAAAGTCTTCTTAGAAAACATACCTGAAGTGACCGGGCAAAAAACAGTACGCCGTAGCTTCGACCGAGTGCAAATACTGCTGTTGATGTGAACATAACACAGAGACCAATGATCATTGGAATTTCATAACCAATTCGGTCAATCACATACCCGGAAAAAGGATTTATAAAAATTTGCAGCAGTGCTTTTGAGGCGAATAGCCATCCAAGTTGAACGTCTTCGTTTTCGTATTCAATATTGAAACCCCTAAGTCGGTATATCTTGGTGCCATTGAGAACATACGTTTCATTGTGACCACCAGTAACATGACGTTCATAAGTGTGAACGCCTCGTAAATATGTCGGAATAATTGGGACAATAACCATGTAAAGCATGTTGTCCAGCAGTAAGGCTACCGAGACAACGATAAGAATCAGCTTTTTTTGTATCTTCGGTTCCTTGACCTTTTCGTTCAACCATTGCTTACACCACTCGCTATCCCGGTTCACAATTGGCACATTAAAACCCATATTGTGTTTGTTAGATTGGCCCAGTGGTTTTTTCTGGAAAATAATACAAAACAAGAACTACACAAGCAGATGGAATAACTGTTTCGATGTTCTAAGCACAAAACAGGAACAAAACAAAGACGTAGAAAACAAAAAAGTTTCAATACATCAGTGGTCAGTCCATATTTTCATCTAAAAACTAAGAAAACCACATTAGGTATTCATTGCTACTTGGCTATTTTCAGTGATGAGACGGAAGAAATGTAAGATTTAAACAAACTTTCGAAATGAATAATAATGATTTGAAGGCGTGGAGAAGACTCGACAATAACTAGAAAAAGAAGAAAACTGTTAGGAGGATGTGTAAAAAGAACGACTACTTGGAATTCTGTTCGGTTATGTAGCCCAGAAGAGCTGAAGAAATGTAGATTTTAAGAGGAATCTGCCTCCTTCCTAATGGTGTTGTTGACGACGACCTGATGTCGTTCGTCATCGTATGGTTTTTTGTGCTTCTAATGGGAGATCGACGGAATTTGTCCGGCCAAATAACGGACATACTAAAATGTTCGTTTAAAAGACGGTGTTTGATTCAAGGAAAGATAAGTTATGCCTTTTCGCATTAAGCTTTCGTACGGCTTCTAATCGAATTAGAGAGATAACTAAAGTTATTTTTTAATCTCTTCAACAACTATGAGCTGGTTTCGTTTGGCTGCCATTTGAAAAAAAGTGAGATATTTTTAGCTTTCCAAAACTGACACCTGTGGATGCTCAAGCTGTTGAACTGATTAGAAATATGAAAATATTTCTTAACTGAACCTTGCGAAGAAGAATATATTAATGACGGCTCATATTACATTCTCCAAGGAAATTTTTTGGAAAAATTCTGCGACATCGATCGAAAACTTCAAAACAAAAAAAACTACTTAGAACATCTTCAGAGCTTCTGTGGTCCATAATTATGGCTGAAATTTTGCCAGTTAGACGGTGTTTCAGCTGAACAGCTTCTCCAATAAAAAATGCTGCTCTTTCAGTCTATTCTTATAGGTCTTCTTATTTATTAGTCTTGCATAGTTTACTCACATTTTCCACACACTTTATTTTGGAAAAATTTTAAAAAAGAAAAGGAGATATTAATAATTTACAAGAAATAGGCCTTCGTCAAGCGACTTGGATGTCATAAAAAAATGCTTTCTTAATTTCATTTTCAACAGAAAGTGTGCTTTACCTGTTTAAAAGACCGTTTTAGTGAGTCCAAAACGGAAACAGAACCTTTTCCAGTTCATAATAATGCTAACAATAATTACCCCCTTTACGAAAAAAAATTGTTACACCAAAAATTTTTCAATCAGATTTATAAGTAAACAGTGTTAGATGAAAACCAAGGAAACAGCAATGTTGCAAAGAAGATTATCATTGGAGGAAACATTGTGGTTTTTTAGAAGAGCAAAATTAATGCAAAACCACAAATTATTGATAATATTAAGAGGACAAACGCAAAACTTGTTTCATGATTATTACACCATTTTTGGTTTCCCTAATCAACTTCAATTTTCTCTGAGCTCCATATTTTAAAAAAAAAAAAATTTTTTTAAATTTCATTTTGCAAATAATCTTTTCCTCGTTCTCTATTTTTCTGTTCTTTTTTTTCTGCTTGCTTTTTTTTTTCAACATCGTGTAAGTTTTGTTGGTATTGATTACGCTTTGCAACCGTTTCACTATGACACCGGGCTTCTTTGAGGTTTCTCTTTAACGGTTTTATACTACACTTATTTACCTGACCGGTCGTTGACTACGTCCGGTTTGATACGGTTTTGAAACCCCAAAGTAAGAAAGCGACAAACAAACGCTGGTGGATATCGTTGGGTCAGACTGATTCCCAGGAGTACAACTCATCAGAGGGCAGGCGAACAAAAATAAAAGAAAAATGAAGAAGTAAGAAAGAAAGTGGAGGATAAATGAACAGAAGAAGATGCTTACTGTTCTCAAGTTAAGAAGGATGATTGGTAGCTGTCGACAGATCTTAGGTTTGAATAATAACTCCTTTACGTCGATCAAATTTTCTCATCGCCCTAAAAAAGAAGCAATGGACATCGTGATACTTATTCAATTGTCATGCGTAATACGAATCGACTGTTTAAAATTGCGAAAATAGATGCAGAACAATAAAGGGGGAAGGGAGGGGAAGACTTTTTTGAGAATAATCAGAGCTATTGTTTGCTTGCAACGACTGCCGGTTGATTCTGAGGCTGTTTATGTTTAGCCGTCTTAGCCTCTGCCGAAATTAATCTCCTTCTGCAACCAGTTGCTGTCTTGACTTTTTAAATATGCTCTAATTTTTTTTCTATTTTCTACTTTTTTCTTTGTTTCAAACAAAGACATAAGAATGATAAAAAAAAAACTGTTGTATAATTGTATTTTCAATGTTTCTTTTTTTTTTTGGTTGCACGTTTCACG